CCCTTGGCAACCTGGTGAAATAGTAAAAGTAAAGGATCCATGGTAAGCAAGTGAATTTCATTATGCCCCACAGGACATCCTAACTTTTCCCACGAGCCAAAACTTTCTTGGTATGGTGTATAAATAAATAATGTAAGCGTATCAGTTATTGATGTTATGAAAAAAAAAAGGCTAGAAAACTTAAGAAAAATTATTTTTATATCATTTTTCTCCAAACAGATATTATTGACCGAACGATTATTTTTATTTGACGCGGCACGAGGGAAGCTGATGAATTTTTTTTTTTTTTTTCCATGAAACCAGTAAAATTGTGTAATGCAACGAAAATATTTACCAGCGAGATGAGTGGGTGCTTCGAGCCGTAACGAAAAAACCACAATCTGAAATCTCCATCGGATTCGATATCCTTACAATGGAGGAGCCCTGGATGCTGCGAAGTGAAAAGCTGAGAAAGGGTAAAGGAGCCAAAAAGAACCTGCCACAGGAGGGATATCAGACATTTTTTTCCTCTCCATACCACCTACTCCTTTCAAATTCTCTTTTACTTATATTTTCTCCCACCTCTCTCTCTTTGCAGTAGAGCCAATGAAATTCCAATGAAGAGTAGTAGCAGCGCGTCTCTGTCCTATCATTTAACATTTCAAAAGGCATATCTCATGCATGGGTTGAGATTTTCCTTTTGGTCATAAAATTATTATCTTTCCGTGTGAAAATATCATTTGAAAACGAACGAACTCGACGGACGATCCAAGTCGATGAAATCCGAGGTGCGTTGCAGGTAGAAAATCTAATTACAATCCGAAAGGAATATATCAGCATATTCATGGAATTCGATTATTTTCATTCTATGTAACTACCAATGAGATGGAGAAATCTAGTGGAATCCTCTTTTTCGATTAATTAGCCATGACACGCCTTAACCACCATAAGCCCGTAGTACCCTGTTGTATTAAACTATCCGAGACTGATTAAATTTTTATTAGCCAATCGGCAGCAGTTCAGTTAGTGAAATTAAATTGAACTCATTGGAAAAGAAGAATCTACAAGACGGCTATAGGTATATAGATGCTTCACGAGAGAACAATGTCACGAGTAAATCTATTTATAGTACATACAGGATTATATACACGACAAACGTACCAGCTGAAGTTGGATGCGATCGAGCTATTCTGTTGGTCGAGGCAGTGTGACGAACTTGTTAAAAAAAAATAAAAGATTCTGGAACTCATGATGTCAATAATGCTACGACGTTAACTTTCATATTTTTTTTTTTTTTTAATGACGTCACGCTGTTCCGATTTACGAAATCAGCCATTTGCAGCCAACTTCGGCTGGTACGTTTGCCGTGAATAATCCTACGTGTATGTGCGTGTATATATATATGTATGTATAACCACAAGTTTTTTTCTTGCGAAACTTTATAAAAAGTAAGGCTGACGAAAATTATTTTATTTCCGTTCCCGAAGCGAGTTTTCCCCCATTTACTTTCCTTCCAGCCGCTCTCTCGCTCTCAGCCCGTTTTTCTTTTTCCTTCTCTTCTGTCTCCCCGGAAAATATGGAGCTGCCGAGGGTCCTTGCTATCCCTCCTACAGGGATTCGGCCAGGAAGATGAAGATGAAGGAATCAGTAGCGGGCAAAAGTCAGCGAGACTCACCGAAGGTTGATAGTCTGGCCGGCAGGACTACTTTTATATCTATGTATACATATATATACCAGGATTCGGTGAATACGAGTGCGACCAGAAGGGCGAGAAAAATTCGAGGGGTCGGAGCCATGAAAAATATCTGAAGAACTAGACGGATCGTATACAATCTCCACATTGCGTCTGTCCGCGTATAACGAAACGCGAGCGACCGAAAGAAAATCTCTGGTTTTTTCAAAACAGACAAATCGGATGCCGAAGAGCGAGGGGATTCTGGTGTTTTCGTGGATCCAGTGTGCTTCTGGGAATTTGAAGGATAACGGATCGTGCGAGGAAGATTGGTTAAGGAATTGCAAGGTGTTAGGTATCGCGTTGTACGTAAGATTCTTGGCGGAGGCCATTCTTTTTTCATCCCTAAATTTTCTCCACTGGCAACGGATCGAAGATAACAAAGGAATAATAAATATCGATGAATATTCATACAACCACATTTTATATATACATATACATATTTATAAGGGTGACTCTTACAAGTTACTGGGTAAATATTGAAAAGTAAGGTAATTCTTTTTTCATATGAAAATGGCTAACGCAACGAATTCAAATGGAGAAAAAATATTACGAGCGGCGGGGAGGGCTGGACTCTTATATTCCATGGGGTAAATCATTTCCGCTCACTCCGAAATGTGTCAACCGTACGTTTTAATACGGGGCTTCCATTTCGTATTTATACGGCAAACGACTACCCTAAGGGAAATAGCCTCAAGTATCTTCAAGGGATGATCTTACGAAGGCCGAAATCTCAAGGCAAATCTTCTTTTTTTTTTTCTTCCTCATTCTCGTCCTCACTCAAGAGCGACGTCATTCGAAGTAACGACGCCCTGAAGATGGCTCACGACGCCATGTAAATCTCGAGATAATTTTTAGAATTTCTCACACCATTTTCCGATGCCACTTTAGCAATTTCCTTATACTCCTTCCATCGCTTTTTGAACTTATGTTCTTTCTCGTTTTATCTTATATTTACTTTTATTCTCTCTCTCTCTCTCTCTCTCTCTCTCTCTCTCTCTCTCTCTCTCTCTCTCTTCATGTCCCATTAAACGCGCATGCTTATCGCCTATACCAGTCATACTCTACAGACTCACAAGCACTTATCCGCTCGATCCATTTGCTCGTTTTATACTACCAGCAATACAGTAGGATATGTACGAGATATATATAAGACATATACACAGTAATATATATATATATACACTTGGTAGAAAAACCAGTCCACCCGGAAGCTACTCAAAATATATGAATATTTATTTAGAGTATCCAAGGAGTATCTTCCATTGTGTATATAAGCTACCTCCATTTTCAAGTTTTCCTTCAGACAATTTACAGCGTATTAATACGTCTATCGTTATAGTCGTCTGAAACGAAGGTGGCGATTGTATATAAAGGTCTGTTAAAGATATTTAAAAAAGAATTTAATTCATCCAATGGTCCCATTTACGTATACATAGACGTGGAGGATAACGTAATAAATGTCTGATAAAACGTAGCTAACTTTTTTATACGATATTAGAGTACGACGCGACGCACGACGTCGCAAGGCGTCTATGGGGCTTTACTCGAAACCGGGATCCGCAACAGTCGCCATGGCAACCATGCCTGACGGTTAGTCCCCAGTGGCGCGAGTCCCATCGAAAAGCCCGTCGACCTTAAATGCTCTAAACAATATAACACGTTCAAAGTGGAGCCAAACCGCCAAAACCGCAAGAGCGTTACCAATAGCAATAGGGAAGGACCGAAAGTCCTTTAGTGCATCGGTAAGTTACATAGAACAGAGTATACAGTGTAGATACTATACCTATGTACACGTGGCCGAGTAGTATTAATTGGGACGGGAAGCAAAATCATGTACAACACGAATTGTAACTAGAAACAGTCTTACCAACTCAATCGAAAAGCCACGATGAACAACGTCACACGCTTACGAGTATCCTAAGGATATTATATGAGAAAATTAAAAGAGGGAATCGGTGCTACTGCGTAGACACGGTAGAGTGGGATGGATTTGAAAGAATGTACTTTTTTCCTTCATTTCCTTTTTTTTTTGCATAACAAAAAACAGTATAATAGCTGAAAATAATACGTCAGGCTTACTGAAACCGACAGCTCAATATCCCCGCATTCATGGAGGTTCCAAGGCCTACGCTTTCCTCTTATACGGTCCCTTGTTTATATCCTTTTTACAGATCGACCGTTAGAGCCTTCGTAGACGCTACATCGCCCGTACATCCATCATCATCCGCATATAGATCGTACTTGGCATAGACAGCCTATTGGAGTATTTTGGTTTTTCGAATTTCCGGTTTGACCAACAGGACGTACTCTTTTTATCGTTACCAGTAGGACAAGAGATCTGGTCAGGGAGGATATGAGAGAGCTGGAGGGTACTTGTATGGGGTTGGTGACTTGGTAAAAAATAAAATTCACTAGAGATTAATAGAAAATAAATTATAGAGATAGAAGATAGAAAATAAATTATCAGTGATCTACGTGGGCATGATTTGAGTATAGGGGTACGTTTGTCGCGTGTCTCATATAATGTGTGTAATAAAATATTTTGTTATTGTTTCAGACGGGGGAGGGTCATCACCCTTCGTCATCCCCATCGGTACGGCCCTGAGGGTGATAGACCAAGTCAAGGATGCAGCAGCGTTTCCACCCTCGAAAACGAAGCGGTCAGAGTTGAGACACTTGTTGCTCCATGGGGTGTTAGAGAGTAAGGGTGCGTGGTGTTCGATGGGAAGAATAAAATGAGTCAGACCATTGTTGCTGTCCCGGTGTCAGTGCGGTGACACTCGGGCGGAACGTGCCCGGCAATCCCAAGCAGCTGAGCGTCCTCGGGGCGAGAGAAACCAGCGAGGAGGCAATGTCGTACGGAGGAGCCGATACGTCGAGCGTCGTCTGGATAAGTTCTGGTACGGAATTAATGGGACCGTAAGACAGCTGAGGTATCGTGAAAGTCGGTAAAGGAGGCAGCGGGTACTTCAAAAAGGAGCTGGCAGATTATTGGAAGCATGAAGAAATTAATTATAGTGGCGCGTACTGTCCGGTGACAGCGGTCGGGATAAACGGTGCTGGTAAGCTCGCGCCGTAGTGTATATTTATATATTTATATACACGTAACCGAAGTTCGGGCGGTTTCGGATATTTTCGGTGGTATCACGAAGTACGAAAGGCTGGATCATCTTCGTGGAATGTCTTCGGGCGCCAAGCGGCTGGTGCAGTCGCTTAGGGGCCGTAGTGTTGGACGGAGTGGGGGTAGAGGGGAGGGCAGTGGTGGGGGCGATGGGTCTGGCGGTAGGGGGTGCGGCGGAGGACAGGCACCAAGCACCAGTGCCACCAGGCTCTGCCATTACGAGAGCGGCCACGAACTCGACGAGATCTCCGTGGTCGGTGGTGGTAGATCCGGAGAGGGTCTTACTACACCTACTACACCCTGTCATTGTAGCGCACTTAAATATGGCAGCGGACAAACTCTTTACAGCGTTGCAGGATCCGTGCCGCCTGCACCAGCTGCGCCGATTCATAGAATCGTTCCTGGTAAGTTTTCGTACGTAGCATAGGAATGCTTGTCACTGGTAGTACGATGCTACTTCGTAAATATTTTTTGAAAAATTTGTATTCTGTCTTTTAGCAATAACTTCTTTTTTACTATGTAATTTTTTTAGTATCGATACCGTCATGCAATACCGAAGGACGCAGTCCAGTGTTTGCTTTATGGGTAAATAAATATTTTTTAATCAATCTGAGCGCAAAGTATTTTTCGCTCGTGGTATATCTTCTTTTTTTTTTTGATCTACCATTAAAAATAAAACGTACTATCGGGCTGGTGGCAGTTCAACGAGGGACAAAAAGGGTCGCGGGCTTATGGGAAAAACAAAACAGACGTCGTACTGTAATCCTTTAAAGCTACGCTCGAGATTTTTCAAAACGACTGATTCCGAGGCTTCTCTAAATCCTATTTCAAGCAGAGTGCTGGACATGTAGGGTGAAGTGGGATTGTGTAAAAGTCGAAAAAAAAAAAAAAATTGAAAAATATAGATATAGGGATACGCATGAAAATCAATCTTCCATCGACCTATTCAATTGCAGGAGTTTTGTTGCACTTTGCCAGGTACATTTCTCCTTTGGTTTGCCATTTTTTTTTCATTTATTTTCTCTTCCCGCACAACATCCCCGGGGCATCCTACGTGTACACGTATACCCAGCACAGTAAACCCCGTCCCGGACCCACGTCATATTTTAGCCCAGGAATAAACCGTACCTAGTCGAGCGACACTCGCTATGTTTACTGGGCTATTTGGTAGATGCAATAACCGGTGCATATGTTGCTGCACTTTTTCCCTTAGCACCGTTTCTCCCGGAAATTCATGAAAATTTCATTCGCCTTTTCTACTTCCTTCAACTTTATTCCGCGATATTACGAACTTTCCAGTATCTTTTTCTCCTCTGCCTACGGAGTTGATGAAACAAAAATATTCCACGGAAGGGCTCCGTAAATTATTCCAAAAAGGGTAGAATCGCTTAAACCAACCTTTTCTTTTTTACATTTCTCTTCTTTATCCCTGTCCTTGCCCCTTTTTTTTTTTACTTATTACTCTCGTCCTCTCATTCTCATGGATAAACCAATTACCTAATGAGCCTCGACGACTCCGAGCAGATACACCGGATATTGGTATCTGCGTCCTATCCATGTTTTGCAAGCGGCACTCTACTCAGAAAAGGTTATAAACGCGTCGAGGCGAATTTTAAAGTTGATGGATGATCCTAAGGGAGAGAGAGGTTTGCCGCTTACCCTATATATATATACATACATGCACGTACGAGTATACAGTTTCATAAACGTAGATATAAAGTGGCGAGAGGAGCCGAATAAAAAGTTATCCAACTTTTCTCGAAATGCTATGGTGCTTGATTTTAATTAAATTTAATTAATAATGAGTCACTAGTCGCTTTCAAAGATAAGCCCCCACTTTTATCTAAATAGATTAATATAAAAATATTAAACTTTGTATTATGCATTATAGCCCATTATATATTTTTTATATACTTTTCATATGTATACTTGTATGTATGTCTTTCGTATACGTCCTCTGCGTCAACTATGCATTTCTATCAGCTGTGTGATACCAGCCAAGCGTTACTAGTAACATATACAAAAGGAAGGCTTGAGTATAAATTATTTCACCGGGACTGGAGGTTGACCTATCGAGGTCCTGTTGCACTCTGCTTTCGCATATTGTCAACCACCAACCTCCAATCCCGTTTCAGTTCCTAGCTTCGCTCTGCCTCACGGCCATTTCCTACTCTGCACGTATCCGATTTATTTCCATGCGAGTTGTTCTTGCGTTTCCTCCTGATACCCACACTGCCCAGCATCCATTAGCCGGCGGATCTCTGATCATACGACGGAATATCTAGTATCTCGTGATCGATGCCTTTAAGCTTCAGAATGGGTCCGATCATTGAATCATCGACTAATGCAGATATGTGGTGTCAAAACAAAAATTGAAATGGTGTTATTTTTATTATTATTTCCTCTTTCAAAATCGTCGCCTTTTTTCCCGGGGGACTTATTGGTCGAGTGATCTGTGCGAATTCGCTGTTTTTGACAGTTAGGGTTATCAGCTACATGACAGATATTGACAGACGTCAAAAAAATAAAAAGCAGAAGTCTATGGGTTAATTATTTCATTTAGTGAGGAAAAATCAATGGGACACAGATGACAAGGAGACTGATCGAATGATCTATGAAAAGATTTATTGACCAGGAAAACAAGCGATTATGTTTGTAATCGGAGCGCCTGTCGATCCGGTTATTTTAAGTCGGATGTCTCAGTCATTGGCCATCCACCCTAATTCCAGTTACGTCGGTAACGTCACTTTCTCTTAATTATTATAACATTCCCGTAAACGGATTACGAGTCGATAAGTTATCATCGGAAATTCGTCAATGTCTTCCTCGCGTTCGATCAATCTATAACCGTTTGAATTAAAGATTTCAGCCGGGCTGGCATTTTGCCATTTCACTGTCGGCGTTATACTGACGGCCTCCCGTATACGGAATTCGCATTGTCACTGGCTACTTGCCAGAAAGTTCTAGAAGCTTCGGATTCTGTGCGCGAATTTTCTACAGTCTATGCCATAGGGTCACTATACTCCGTTCGTAATAGTTCCAGACTCCTATTCAATACCCAAAGTGTATCAGCTCGCACGTACGTAGGGCAGTATGTAAAATAATACAGAAATCCAGAATCTATCCTGTATGTAAAATAGTCGAAGTTACTTATACCGGGTATATATATACATACATATTTGCACACGATTAAATGTATTCGTATAGCTATACATGGAAGATGTACAATTCAAAGTTTCTCCAAAGCTATGCAAACTCTCATAGCCAAAATTTAATTTTTTTATTTTCTTACCAATTTAACTTTTTTTTTTTTTTTCATTACTCTACATACTCCCACACTCTTATCCACTTTAATTAAGTCGATAGTACATTTTTATAGACGTTCCCGCGTACAGTTAGACTGTGCTTAATGACTCGTCCGTGGTATTTAATCAAATTCAAATTACGCGGGAATTTCAAACTGTCGTGTTTGTCCACAATTTTCCTGCGAATTTCATTTTTTTTTTTCACGCCACTGCTATTCTATATCTATAGTTTATTTTGAATATGGAATGTATATCGAGTGTGTATTTCAACACAGAAAAGCCAATTTCGAATAATCTGCACAAATTTTATTACCACCTGTATACATATATGTATATATGTATATATACACACTCTACGCACACGTGTAACTATGACGTTTCAATACGAATTGATTGACAGTTTTGATCGATCCCACACATATCTATCATCGTTTTCATGTCCTGCGGACGCTCATCGATTATACCGATGACTTCCAAGCAGAATATCAAAACGCATTAAAACTATTTTACACTACATTAATTTGTACATCCACTCCGGTTTTAGGTATTACATAAGCTTTTCATGTAAAAAATAAACATTTAATTTCTATTCTCGTCCTTGTAACTTCACGTTTACCTCCCATGGGTATTACTATTGTCCTTATGTCTATAGCTTCTTCTCGATCTATATTACTATTATTATTATTATCTGTACCTGCTTCTCTCATTGCACTGCACCGCGACTACGACTTTGTTTTCTTCACGAATTCATATTCCAATGGTAATTTTACGCAAATGGGATAACGACTGGTTTTTCATTGAGCGATTAAGAAAAATACCTCAGATTCTCCCTCGGTCTCTCTTTCCACATATATATTGCCTGAGTCATCATTTTATCTAAACTTTTGCCTAATAAAAAATATTTTTTAATCGATAACTAACAATTTCCATATTCCTCATTTTCATAATAACCGACACATGTCCAACGTGCGCCTGACAACATACGCGAAATGCATCCCCCTACAATTTACCCAACTTCCAATACCCAAGGGATATGTAAATTTTGAAAATTGACGAACCCACCAATCTCGCTATTACGAATCTGCTGGACAAGTCCATAACTATAAGAAATCGAAGCAAACTCCTCTTCCCTGGACCACTACCTCTAAGGACCCTTGTATCCCGTTAAGGGTAGGTTCTCTCATATCCCAAGTCCGCGACATGCCCGAGTGTCTCTGGTCTATTTTTACCAGTAGATTTTCCTTTTCTCTGGGATCAGCGCTGACAGTGAAGGAAAAAAAAAAAAAAAAAAAAAAATTACTAGATCGCCACTATCCCATCCACCATCCACTCTATGCAGGCAGGCGAGGGTTTCGTTCTCTAGGATTCCCGTATCGATTCCCGCAGGGATGTGGCGGCGTGGCGTTTCTTGAATTTTAAAAGGAAACGTAGCCAAAGGAATCCGCAAGTAAATTCCCTTTCTCGTGCCACCGTCACGTACCGGACGTCCGAGAAGCATCTGGCAAGTTTTCCGAAGGCTTTTTTTTTC